TTCCTCCAGCACAATAAGTAGTCCCCTCCCAAATACCATGCCTCCCCTCCCCGTTTCAATGGCAGCCGAAGCAGCAGCAAAGCAGAGGCTGACAAACAGGTACAGCATTGTTACATGATTTATATATTGCCAACCCAACCGTTAGATTATATTCCTAACACGTATAATGTAAATAATTATGGGACTGGAAATCAAACATTACAAAAATCAGGATTACAATAATTACTTACGTAGAGGAGCAATCATAACATTCCTCCTGCCCCCTCCCCTCCGGGTTGGAAAACACTCTTAAGGCAATGTTGATGTGTATTTTCATGCATGTTGTTGTAAATATCTTCATCATAGACACTTTATTTTCTATCTTTACTACTACAGGTAGTCTTCGACTTACAACAGCTCATTTGTGAATGCCCCAACACTGGAAGTCTTTAAGAAGATGTTGGATAGCCAGTTGTCTCAAATGGTATAGGGTTTCCTGCCTAGACAGGGGGTTGGACTAGAAGACCTCCAAGGTCCAACTCTGCATTGTATTATTGTATTTAGCGATAATTCGAAATTACAACATCACTGAAAAGTGGCTTAAGACCGTTTTTCACGCTTACAACCATTACAGCATCCCCATGGTCATGTAATCAAAATTCAGATGCTTGGCAGCTGACTCATATTTATGACGGTTGCCGTGTCCTGTGGTCATATCATCAGCTTTTGCAACCTTTTGACAAGCAAAGTCGATGGGAATCCAGATTCACTTAACCAACCGTGTTTCTGTGGTCATGTGATTGGCATGACTAAACAACGAAGGAGCATGGAACACTGTTACCTTCCCACCAAAGATGGTCCCTATTTTTCTACCTGCATTTTTACATGCTGTCGGACTGCTAGGTTGGCAGAAGCTGGGACAAGTAACGGGAGCTCACTCCGATACGTGGCGCTAGGGATTCGAACGCTGAACTGCCAACCTTCGACAAGCTCGGTGTCTTAGCCCCTGAGCCACTGCGTCCCTTACTAAATAAAGTTAAAATTAACTTTTAACTTTTTTAACTGTTAAAAAGTTAAAGGTTACTCAGCAGCAAACCAAGAGTTAGTAATGCTCAATTCAGCCAAGTCTTATCTCCTCACCTGGACTCTAGAAGGAGCGGTTCTTTCTAGGTGGAGAACCACTCCCACTTTGCCATGACACCAGTATAGGGAGTCCTTGAGTTATCATTGCAATCAAGTCTGCCCATAACTGTTGTAAGTTATAACGGTCATAAAACAGGTTGGTTATGTGACTTTGCAACTTTATATGCTGCATTAAGCAAACACGGTGATCATAAAACATACACCACGTTCATTAAACAAACTGATCCTTCGCTGTGGCAGAGATCTCCAACCTTTCCGGCTCGGTAGACCGATGGAGGAAACGGTGGGGGGGGAATGGGGCGGAGAGAAGATGTTTTCGTGCGTGCATGCGCACAGGGCGCTTTCACAAATGTAGCTTTGCGCGTACATGCGCACACGCCCACCACTTCCGCAGCCAAGTTCCAAACAGGCTGCAGCCCAGCAGTGGATTGTGGGCCAGGAGTTGTGGATCCCTGCTCTATGATGCAGTCTTGGTTGTCACTAATCCACCATAAAGCCAGGGTAAACCACCATAAACCACGATAAAGCCAGGGTCACATGACTGCAGGGCATTGCAAACAGATGTAAATGCCGCCACGGTTCCAAATGCCCAAAGTGTGGTCACATGACTGCAGGGAGGAGGGAAATCACTAGAACTTCACATCTGGGTCATAACAGGGTCGCCCAAACTGGTAACAACAAAAAAAAAATGCTACCAGTTCGAGTGAAAAGGTATTTCCAATGATCAGCTGCGACACGCTATTAGCTAGAATTGTCGGCTTTCCTGCTTTCTAGCTAATCTAAATCGTATGGCACAGCGGGTTTCCCCCCACCCCAGTTCTACTTAACTTTGCAGGCGTACTTGGTAGCAGGCTCCGCTCACCCGCCCAGACGTCATCACATCCAGTTTTTTACGCTGTGCGCATGCGTGGAAGGTCCTCCGCATGCGAGGTGCTGGCACGTGCGTTCACATTTGCCAACCGGTAGCGAAGGTAAATTGACTTCACTCCTGGTCGTAAGTCCTCTTCTTTGGATGCATTGTAAGTTCAAAACATCGCTAAGTGACCAGTCATAAGTCGAGGACTACCTGCGTGCTATTTCTTGCTATGACAGCTTCAGAGCAGCTGGTGATAGTTTAAGCAGGCCTTTTGGGAAGAGGAAGTTTATCTATTTTTAGCAAAAAGAAAAAAAAAATTAAAGGGTAGGCTGATACATCATGCCGAGTTGAACTACTGGTTTACATGTCTCCATTAAGCCAAAATAAACATTGCTGCTCCTGGCAAATTAAGTGATGTCATGGCTGTCTCCTCCCAGTGCCTGGAGGCTGTGGGGGTCTGGTTGGGAAAGAAGAGACTTCAGTGAACCCTGGCAAGATTGAGTGGCTTTGGGACTGGGTCCTTCTCTCTGCATCATTTTTAGTACCGGATGGGGTTGCACTGCAGACCCAGTGCAGAATCTGGAGCATTCGGCACTCCTTCTAGACCAGGGGTTGGCAACCATAAACACTCAAAGAGCCAAAGGTCCTAACTGGAAGCCCCCCGTTCAATTCTGGAGCTGACCAGAAGTCCGGTTTCCCCCACCATAGAGTCTCCTCCTAGCACGGAGTCCTTTTTCCTCTGCCTCTCCTAACAGAAAGCCCTATCGATTGTGGAGCCCACTGGCAACAGGGAGCCAC